CAGAGCTGTTCCTAAAAGACCACATTCACTTCTCAAAACAAAGCAAAACAGTTAAACTTGGCATTTAGGTAGGATACCACTGGATGCCAGTGATACAATCCTGGCAGTCAGTCTTAAGGCATATTTGACAAGGAACGTTGTTGGCACTGGCCAAGCTTCCTAGGTGATAGAGGGTCAGTGATGGCTCACGGTCTTGGGGAGCCAGGCCAGACTTCAACTTCAAGCCCTTAGAGGTTCTGATCATTTGAGTTCAGATTAAATTTACATTAGAAATAAAACATCTAGGGGCAGCTAGGTGGCGCAGTGGATAGAGCACTGGCCTTGAAGTCAGGAGGATCGGAGTTCAAGTGCCGCCTCAGACCAAACACTTGACCTTACTAGCTGTGTGACCCTGGGCAAGTCACTTAACCCCAGTCGCCTAAAAAAAAAGAAAGAAAACATCTTTTAGTATCACCAGATTTTTTTCCAGCCACCAAAGCTAGAGTGGAGAGATATAATCCTAAATTCTTCTAATCTTTCAAAGTTGTGACCTGATGACAGTGCTTAAGAAATATCTCACTCTGAAGGTCTCAAAAAGGATTTTGAGAAGCAAGTAAGAGAAGGAGAGGAAAAACTGGGAAGAGAAATGAGAGTGATGCAAGAAAATCATGAAAAACAAGTCAATAGCTTGCTGAAGGAGACCAAAAAAAATACTGAAGAAAATAACACCTTAAAAAAATAGCCTAACCCAAATGGCAAAAGAGGTCCAAAAAGCCACTGAGGAGAAGAATGCCTTAAAAAGTAGAATTGGCCAAATGGAAAAGGAAGTCCAAAAGCTCACTGAAGAAAATATTTCCTTAAAAATTAGAATGGAGCAATTGGAAGCTAGTGACTTTATGAGAAATCAAGACACGGTAAAACAAAACCAAAAGAATGAAAAAATAGAAAACGATGTGAAATATCTCACTGGAAAAACAACTGACCTGAAAAATAGATCCAAGAAAGATAATTTAAAAATTATTGGACTATCTGAAAGCCATGGCAGCTAGGTGGCTCAGTGGATGGAGCACTGGCCCTAGAGTCAGGAGGACCTGGGTTTAAATCCCAGTCTCAGACCAGAGACTTGACACTTACTAGCTTTGTGACCCGGAGCAAGTCACTTAATCACAATCACCTCGACACAAAAAAAAGAAAAGAAGATAAATTATCAAGGACAATTGCCCTGATATTCTACAATCAGAGGGCAAAATAGAAATTAAAAGAATCCACTGATCACCTCCTGAAAGAGATTCCCAAAGGAAAACTCCTAGGAATATTGTGGCCAAATTCCATAGTTCTCTGGTCAAGGAGAAAATATTGCAAGCAGCCAGAAAGAAACAATTCAAGTATTGTGGAAGCATAATCAGGATGACACAAAATTTAGCAGCTTCTACATTATAGGACCAGAGGGCTTGGAATATAATATTCTGGAGGTCAAACGAGACAGGATTACAACCAAGAATCACCTACCCAGTGAAACTGAGTATGATCCTTCAGTGGAAAAAATGGACATTCAGTAAAATAGAAGAATTTCAAGCATTCTTGATGGAAAAACCACAGCTGAATATAAATTTTTACTTTCAAATACAAGACTCAAGAGAAACATGAAAAGGTAAACAGGAAAGAGAAATCATAAGGGACATATTAAGGTTGAACTGTTTACATTCCTGCATGGAAAGATGATATTTATAACTCACGAGACCTTTGTCAGTATTAGGGTAGTTGGAGGGAAAAAATTTTATGTATGTATAGATAGATAGATAGATAAATAGATAGATAGATAGATAGATAGATAGATAGATAGATAGATAGATAGATAGATAGATAGATACTGGGAGAAGGAGAAAGGGAGAGGTAGAATGGGGTAAATTATCTCACACAAAACAGACAAGAAAAGGCTTTTACAGTGGAGGGGAAATGGGGAAGGTGAGAGGGAATGAGTAAATCTTATTCTCATCGGATTTGGTTTAAGGAGGAAATACCATATGCCCTCAATTGGGTATGGAAATCTATTTTACCCTACAGGAAAATGGGGGGAGGGGGAGGAAGGGGACAAGAGAGCAGGGGGATGATACAGGGCAGATTGGGGGATGAGGTAATCAATCAGAAGCAGGGACAGGGTCAATGGAGAGAATAAAATAAATGGGGGGTGGCATAGGATGAAGGAAAATATACTTAGTTTTTGACAACATGACTACTGTGGAAGTGTTTTGCATAACTACACATATATAACCTCTATCGAGTTGCTTGCCTTCTCAATGAGGGTGAGTGGGGAGGGAGGAAGGGAGAAAATTTGGAACCCAAAGTTTTAAAAACAAATGTTAAAAATTGTTTTCATATCTACTGGGAAATAAGATATATAGGCAATGGTATGTAGAAATCTATCCTGTCCTACAGGAAAATTGAAGGGGAAGGGGATAAGAGAAGGGGGGGAAGATAGAAGGGAGGGTAGATTAGGGGGAAGGGGTATTCAGAATGTATGCCATCTTGGGGGGGGAGGGATGAGATAAGGAGAAAATTTGGAACTCAAAATCTTGTGGAAGTGAATGTTGAAAACTAAAAATAAATAATAAAATCTGAAAGAAAGAAAAAAAAGAAACATCTCACTCTGAAGGTCTACCTGACTTCTATTATTTTTGAGTAATCATTTATTAGGGACTTCGCCTTGGGCTAGGTACTGGAGATACAAAGATGAAAGCAATTCTTCCTTCAGGGAGTTTAGATTCTACCTGTCTCCACCCTGAAAAACACAAAAGTTAATCTGGTTCAGGATCCTGGATGTAGAGAGAGAAGGAACCTCTGAGGCCTTGAAGCCCAGTCCCCTCATTTTACAGGTAAGGAAATTGAGATAAACTCTAGGAAGTTGAATGACTTGCCCAAGGGTTACACTCTTAGGAGGATTTGAACCCAGGTCTTTGGACTCCAAACATAGTACTTTTCTTACTGCACTGCCCTGTGATGATTTTGCTACTGAAAAAAAAAAAAAAAAAAAAAATATATATATATATATATATATATATATAAAATCTCCAATTTTTTCCTAGTTCCTTTCTTGTATCTCTAGTATATATACCCAATTTCACTGAAATCATGTACAGTTTAATCCTCATCACACACATACATATATACTGATATACATAATAAAAGACAAATTCTCTGACTTCCCAATATCTAGGGTTCCATGCCTTTGTCCCCATTTCTCTCCCACATCCTAGGGCCATTTTCTCCCCTAAATGATCTCCTTTCTTTCCCTGTTTGATAATGATCTTAGAAGCATAGATTTAGAGCCTAGAGGAATCTTAAAAGCCATCAGTTTTTTTGTTTGTTTGTTTATCTGAGGCCCAAGACAATGGAAATTCTACCAAGCTGTGGGTGATCTACCTAAGAAAGGACAGCTTTCTCCCTTTGCTTTGGAAGTGGAATGAGAAAGTCCCAAGCACTTCCTCTAATTGTGGCATAGCAGTAAAAAAGAGAGCTTTTGAGGATGAGCTCTGGCAATTCTAGGACTTCAGAAATAGTTGGAGAGGACTTGTCCATTCTGGGATTGAGAAAGAAGAGACAAAGGAAAGGTTCAGGGTATATAGTCTAACCCAACAGGTTCTTAACCTCTGTGTCCTGGACCCCTTGGGCAGCCTGATAAACCCTATGGACCCCTTCTGAGAATAATGGTTTTAAACGCATAAAATAAAATACATAGGATTACAAAGAAAACCAGTTACTCAAATACACAAACAAAAAAGATTCGGGTTCACAAACCAGTTTAAGAACCTGGCTAGTCTCAGTAGGGTTCCATATTCTTAGATAGGATGGCTCCAGGTCCTAGACAAAGCCTGTTTTTGGTGTAGGGAACAAAGAAAAGAAAATGAGCAAAGGAACCAGAATCCAAAGAATGATGGATGCTGTTAATGTGTGTTTTCAAAAAGAACGACCCCAAATTTGAGTCTGGCTGTAAATCATTTCAGGAATTTGAATGACCCTGTTTGTTACAGTGAAATTTCTCAAGAGACAAAGGAAACCTTCATTTTAGACTTATCTGAACTGCTTTTTTGAGGGATCAGGGCCATTTAAACTATCATCAAAATGTCCTTTAAAATTCAAAGACAAAAAAAATACTGTTGTAATTATCATGTTTATTTTAAATGAAGCAATTGTGTGTATTTGTGATAGCACTTTGAGCCTGGTATAATCAATATGAATACATGTCTGCCAAATTTTTAGGAGTTGAAACACAACTACTATTTGAAATTATTGTAGAAGTTTATAGCTATTTTACTTTTATGACATCCTGGAACTTATTTGATGCCAAGTAACCAACAATGACATTGTTCCTCTGAGGGGGGAAAATGTTTTTGTAATCATTTGTGTTACGAGACATTTGATTCAGTTCCACAAAGCTTTAAAAAATTAAAAAAAAAAATTCAACCAACTCTGTACCAGGCACTTTGCTAGGCCCTATGTTTGTAAAGACAAAAAGGACAAAGTCCACACCTCAAAGAACTTGCATTTTCCTGGGGTTACTAAGAACACTTTGCAGTGATCAGGTCCATTGTTTTATGGGCAGTGTCTTCCATCAACAAGGTTAAAAAAATTGCTAGAAAAGGCAAAGGATTTCGGTTAGGGGAAAACTTTGGAGCCCTGAGGTACAGCTGGTTACCTGAATCAACAAAGGGCCTGGACTAAATTTACTGCTGCTTTGGAAACTAGGCAATTTAACTTTTTTCTGCCTTCTCTTCCTCTGACCTCACTGCAGACTGGCAAACTAGCATCACATATTCTAGGGAGTTTCTTGCTCTCTTTAAATCTTGCTATTTGCTGAGATTTTTATAATAGATTTTTGTCCCCAGATAAAGATAAGCTGATTTTTATTGCATTGTGAACAAGTGTCAAAATATTTGGAAAAATAAAGGGGAACTCCTGGACCAAGAGCCTCAGGCTTAACCCAAGCCTATGTTGATTGAAGCTCTCTTTCTTTATTTTTCCAGAGGTGCACATCCCTCCTTGCATGATCAAATCATTGTTCTTTATTGTCTCATGGTCATAAGGGAGAAAATTCAGTACAGTCGCAAAGTCTAAATGCTGTTCAAAAGTCTCTCATTAAGCCTTCAGAATGCTTGAAGAGAAAGGTAAGATTGATTATTGTGATGTACACAAGCATGTAGTTTATTCATGCATTTTACTTGGCTGCAGGCAAGCATTTCATTTGGCTTGAAGGCTGAAAGCTTTCTCATACTCCTTCAGGACCACATCATCTGACCTACCCATCACCCTTTGGAGTAATGCAAAGCTTCTAGATAGAGAACAATGAAATAGTAGGCTTAGAATCCATATCTTGCATATAGGAAAAAAGTATTTTCCAGACTTGGAAGATACCTTATTATGCAAAGGCACAGATAGAAACAGGAGATGGAATGTTGTAGATAAGTGACAAGAAGTAGGTCAGTTTGTCTGGAATGTAGGATGTGTGAAGCATAACAAAGTTCAGTAGTCCTAGGAAGAGAGTCTGGAACTCCATTGTGAAGGGCTTTATATGGCGAATAGAGGAGTTGTTATTTTATCAAGCAAAAAGAGAGATTATTGAGCAAGTTAGTGAGTAACATGGTCAAGACCCGAGCTTTAGGAATTTTAATTTGCCAGCTGTGTGGAGGGTGGATTTGGAGAAGGGAGAGATGGATGACTCATTAGAAAACTGTTCAAATACTCCAGGCAAGAGGTGATGAAGGTCTGAACTGAAATAGTACTCATATGAATAGAGAAGGGTATGAATGCAGGAGATGTGGAATCAAGAAGATGAGGCAGCTGATTGAATATGAGGCTGGGGAAGAGTGATAAGTAGAAGATGACTCTGGGGGCTGTAAATCTCAGTGACTAGAAGGATGATGAAACCCCCTGACAGAAGCAAGAGAGTTAGCAAGGATTGACTGTAGGGAAGAGAGTTATGTTGTGTTTTTGACACATTGAGTTTGAGATGCCTGTAGTGCATCTGATGAGAATGCCCAGTAGTCTGCTGGTGACTTGAGCCCAGAAGGGACATTAAGGTTGGATATATAGATCCAAGAGTAATCTGCAAAGAAAATGGTCAGTGAACCATGGGAGCTAATGAACTCACCAAAAGAGTATGTCTATATAGAGAGAAGAGAGCCCAGGGGAAAAGCCTGTCTTGGTTACTGATAAACATAATGGCGAAACATTCTGACAGATTGTTTATAGTCCTACTGCTTGGGAAATGTTGGTTTCTCTTTGGATTTTCTCTGCTGTTCCTAGCTACGTCTTTCAGAAGTACAGCCTTGACTGGCGGGCTCATATTCAGAGATGCTGCAGGAGCAGCTTCTGATTAGCTGACATTTTATTGCCCGTTTGACTTCAATCGGTCTGTGACAGGGCTTGAGTTTATTTATATACATTTGGGGCCATGTCTTTATTTTGTATCCCATCAGCAGTGGTAGTTGCCTAAATGGAACTCATATAGGCTAGAATTCTGAATTTGGAAGCCAAGAAGACTTGTATTCAAATTCTGCCTAACACACTTGCTAGCTGTGTTGAACCCTGACAAATCATTTAACCATCTTGTGCCTCAGTTTTCTTATTTATAAAAGGATGAGATCAGACTTGATGGCTTCTGAGGTCAAAATCTGTTTATAAATTCTCTTAATCCCTGAGTTTCCTTTGACAGAGATCAGAGAGCTCCATGTTTTCATGCTGTTGAGGCAACCCATCTTTTTGTCTCCATCTTGGAAGGCTTCTTCCTCCCATCAGCCACCTTGCTGATGAGGAGCTATACTGGATTATTTCTTTGACACTCCCTGCAAGGTTCATCTTAGGTTCCACCTAATTATAATTCTCCATGAAGCCTTTTCTAATCCCCTGTTATTAGAGCTCCCTCTTTCCTCCTGGTGGCTTGGTATTAACTTATCAATGCCCAAGTTAATCATGACACATACACACACACAGAGTGCACACATGCAGTCTCACTGCACATACCCAATAGAATACATGCAACTCTTCAGGGACAGAGACTGTTTCATTTTACATCACCTCACATAGTGTGTGTATATGAAGAATGCTTGGTAAATGCTTGTTGTATCTCTGGTGTCTTTCACAAGCACCTGGGTTTCCACTGTAATTTGCCAAGCTTGGACTATCTCCAAGAAGCACAGTTTTCTTGAAGAATTGCTTTAACTGGCTTCCTCTTTGTCGGTCACAGTAATACCTCTCATTTTTAAAGAATTTAAGGATTTCAAAATGCCTTCTTCATCCCAGTCCTGTGAAGGAAGTTTGTTGTTGTTTAAGTTGTGTCCGACTCTTTAATGACCCCATTTGGAGTTTTCTTGGCAAAGATACTAATGGGGTTTGCCATTTCCTTTTCCAGATCATTTCATAGTTGAGAAACTGAGGCAAACAGGGTTAAGTGACTTGCCCAGGATCACAGAACTAGTAAGTGTCTGAGGCTGGGTTTGAACTCACGGAGATGAGTCTTCCTTACTCCAGGTCCGTCACTCTATCCATTGTGCCACCTAGCTGCCCATATGTGGTGTCCTGTGTAAAACATCAATGAAATTTTCTTTGTAAACAGTCTCTCTTTGCTGTACTACAATGGGTCCCTAGAGTCAGTGGAGGGGGAGGGGGAAATGTTCTGTTACATGAATGTTAGTAAGAAAGGTCTGTTGGAAAGGGCCAGTTTCACAAAGTAATGTCTCTCCAATGTCCTCTCAGTCTTTGATCGGTCAATTAAGCATTTATTAAGCAAGGTGATAGGCATTAGGGATAAAAGACAAAAAGGAAACAATCCCTGACCTCAAGGAACTTACTTCATACCTGGAGAATTTACATGTACACATATAAGTAGGTACAAAATTTATACAAGGTAAATACATAATTGATACAACTAGATGGCACAGTGGATTGAGGGCCAGGCCTAGAGTCAGGAAGACTCATCTTCCTGAGTTCAAAGATGGCCTCAGTCACTAGTTGTGTGACCCTGGGCAAGTCACTTAACTCTGATTGCCTCAGTTCCTCATCTGTAAAATGAGCTGGAGAAGGAATGGCAAACCATTCCTATATCTTTGCCAAGAAAACCTCAAATAGGGTCACAAAGAGTTGGATATGACTGAACCACAACAAAATACAAAATAAAAGAAGCACTAGCAACTGTGGGGATTAAGAAATGCCTCATAACTAGCTATGTGACCCTAGGCAAGTCACTTAACCCCATTGCCTAGCCAAAAAAAAAGAAAAGAAAAGAAATGCCTTATATAGGATGTGGCCTTTGAACTAAGCTTTAAGGAAGCTAGTGATTGTAGGATGCAGATGTGAGGAGAGAGTACATTTCTAGGCATAGAGGATAACCTGTGCAAAGGTGTGGAGCAAGTAGTGGAATGTGACATGTGAGGAACAGCAAGATGGCTAGTTTGGCTAGACCACTGAGTGTATGAAGGGAATGGGTAATAAGACCGGAAAAATAGGTTAGGGCCATTTAAAATGCCAAATACCTGTAAAGACTTACATGAACTGATACAAAGTAAAGTGAGCAGAACCAGGAGAACATTGTACACAGTACCAGCAATATTGTACAATGATCAATGTGAGTGATTTAGCTATTCTTAGCAATACAATGATCCAAGACAATGCTGAAGGATTTATGATGAAAAATGCTGTCATCCTCTGGAGAAAGAGCTGATACAGTCTGAATGCAGATCAAAATTCTTAAAAATTTTTCTTTATTTTTCTGTGTTTTCTTTCACAACATGACTAATACAAAAATATGTTTTATGTGACTATGTAATTTGATTGCCTTTTCCAGGGGAGGTGGGGGGGTGGGGCGGAATTTGGAACTCAAAATTTTTAAAAAAGAATGTAAGAAAAGTTGTTTTTACATGTAGTTGAAAAAAATATTTAAGGATTAGCAAAAAATAAAATGCCAAATAGAAGTATTTTATCCTAGATCAAGGGTTATTAACCTGGGATATGGGAATTGTTCAAAATAGCGTGTATATGTAGATAGATAGATTTGTAATCTTGTATATTTTTATGCATTTGAAAATATAATTCTGAGAAGGGTTCATAGGCTTCACCAGACTGCTGGAGCTGGGTGGGTGACTGCATGACACAAAAAAGGTTAAGAACCCCTGTCTTAGAGTTAACAGGGAGCTGTCAGAGCTCCTGAAGCTTGCAGGTTACGTGGACAGACAGACTTGTTTTAAAGAATTGCAAATTTGGGAGCTGTTTGGAGGACAGAATAGAGAAAGGGTGAGATTTGAAACAGGGAGATCAATTAGGAGGCTAATAGAACAGTCTAGGGTCACAGGGGATGAGAACCTAACCTAACCTAGGCTGTTTTCTTCTCCAGTTCCATGCTGAATGAGAGACTTTTGTGGAGGTAGAATCTATAGTATAAGAGTTGGTAACTAATTGACTGCTGAGGTTAAGGAAAATGAAAAGTCAAGACTGGCTCTAAGAAGGATGGTATTGCCTATAACAAAAATAATCTTGTATTTGTTCTGGGCCTTAGGATGCCAAACTCTGGGATCCTTAGGAGATTCAGGGAATGGATTTATGATTAATGTAATGTAAATACCACTACCCTTTGAGGGAATAGCATACACACTCAATTGGGTATAGAAATCTATCTTACCTTCAGGAAAATAGTGGAGAAGGGGATAAGAGAGTGGGGGATGACAGAAGGGTAGGCAGGTTGGGGGAGGAGGTAATCAGAATCTAAGGAAGGACAGGGTCAAAAGGGAAAATAGAATAAATTGGGATGGGGCAGGGAGCTGGGATAGGATGAAGGGAAATATACTTAGTTTTCCCAGCATGACTACTATTGGAAGTGTTTTGCATGACTACACATGTATAACCTGTATTGAGTTGCTTGCCTTTTCAATGAGAGTGGGTGGGGAGGGAGGAAGGCAGAAAATTTGGAACCCAAAGTTTTAAAAACAAATGTTAAAAATTGTTTTCACGTGCAACTGGGAAATAAGATATACAGGTAATGGGGTATAAAAATCTATCCTGCCCTACAGGTAAATAGAAGAGGAAGGGGGTAAGAGAGGGAGGGGAGATAGAAAGGAAGGGCAGATTAGGGGAAGGGGTATTCAGAATGCACACTGTCTTGGGGTGAGGGTAAGGAAGAGATGAGGAGAAAATTTGGAACTCAAAATCTTGTGGAAGTGAATGTTGAAAACTAAAAATAAATTAATTTTTTAAAAATACCTCTATCCTTTGTCTACTATCTCCATTAAATGATCCAACCCTTGTGGTATGCCCAATGATTCTTTTCTCCAAATCTTGAAAGAACCATGTTATGTGGACCTCTTTGTAGATGACTCTCAAATCTGTACTTCCAGTCTTGGCCTTTCTGTTGAGCTCCAGACCCGCCCCTTCAGCTGAATTACAGGAATTACAGGAATAAGGGTAAGCCAACAAAGGCATGTAATCTACATCTAAATGAGGTGAAACTAGATGAGAAGGATTAGCCAACCAATGCCTAGGAAGAGTAAGTGTTCCTCTGGCAGACTGCGTGAGAGAGGTTGGTATTATCACTACTGAAAAACATAACTCTTAAGCACATACCCTACCAATAGTGTTTCAGGGACTACACATTATTATAAAGTTCTCTTTATGAGAATAATTTTCTGAGAGGTCGTCTTTAGTACTTATCTTTTGTGCCCAATGCTGTAATTTGATATCTTAGTCCCAACCTCATTTAATAAGGGTCAAGAAATCATACTCAAGAATCTAATTTTGAAATTATCCATTTACACCTAACTTTGCTTTCTGTCTCTTGTTTATTCATAAATTCTTGCCAATCCATAAGTCCAATAAATAATATGCTCCCTGTTCTTCTAATCTTCTTATAAAATCTCTTTATATCTAGGTCATGTATCCATTTTGACCTTATCTTGGTAAATAGTGTAAGATATTGGTCTATGCCCAGTTTCTGCCATACTGCTTTCTAGTTTTCCCAACAATTTTTACAAATAATGAATTCTTATCCCAAAATCTTAAGTCTTTACACTTGTCAGATACAAGGTTATAATCTTTATTTACTGCTGTAAATTGTGTGTATTCTATTCCATTGATCTATCTTTCTATTTCTTAGCAAGTACCAGGTAGTTTTGATAAATACTGCTTTATAACATAGTTTAAGATCTGGTACTGTTAAAACTCCTTCCTTTACATTTTTTTTCATTTGTTTCTTTGATATTCTTGACTTTTCATTCTTCCAAGTGAATCTTATTATTTTTTTCTAATTCAGTAAAAAAATGGTTTAGCTAAAATTGTCATTTTTGTTACATTGGCCCTGCCTAACCATGAACAATTAATATTTCTCCAATTGTTTGAATCTGATTTTATTTGTATAAAAAGTTTTTTATAATTTAGTTTATAGAGTTCCTGGATTTGTTTTGGCAGGTGTACTCTGAAAATAGTATGTTTTCAAAAACAAAGAAGGGGGAAAATCAGGATCTGTTGACCAATACATTGAAGAAGTCTGAAAATAAGTGCAATGTGCCACATTTGTGCATCTTCTACCTCTCACCTCTGCAAAAGCATGGGTTGGGAGTATTAATTTTGCAACATTCAGTTTTGATGTGTATGCATGTGGTTCTTTACATTTACATTGTTGTAGTCGTGTATGTTGCTTTCTTGGCTTTGTTTATTTCATTCTACTTCAGTTCATATAAAATTTTTTGTGCTTCTGTATTAATTATATCTGTCATTTCTTACAGAACAGTAATATTCCATTATATTCATGTTTTACAATTTATTGAGCCATTCCCCAATCAGTAAGAACCTACTTTTGTTTTCAATTCTTTGCTATCACAAAAAGTGCTGTTCTAAGTATTTTGGGGAATATGGCGACTTTCTTCTTATAAATGGTTTCCTTGGAATATAAGTAACAGAATCTGGTAGCAGTAACAGAATCTCTGGGTCAAAGGGCCTGGACATTTTAATTCTTTTTTAAATTGGCTTCCAAAGCAGTTGTACTGGTTTGTAGCTCTACCAGCATTGCACTAGCATGCCTATTTTCCTTCCTACAACTCCTCCGACATTGACTATTTTTTTTTGGTCATCTTTTGTCATCTTTGCCAATTTGCAGTGTTTGAAGGGAAACTTCAAGGTTGTTTTGATTTGCATTTCTCTTATTATTAGTAATTTGGAGCATTCTTTCTCATTGTTATTAATAGCTTGCAGTTCTTTTGAGAATTGTTTGTTTACATTCTTTAACCACTTACCTGCTGGGGAATGGCTTTTGGTCATATATAAATTTAAGTTGTTTATGTATCTTGGATACCAAACCCTTGTCAGAAAAAATTGACACAAAGATTTTTTCCAATTCGAGCACTTCCCTTCTTTTCCTGGTTGCAATAATTTTGTTTGTGCAGAAGCTTTTCAATTTCACATAATTAAAGTTTTCTATTTTATCTTCAGTAATTATTTCTATCCTTTTTTAATTTTTTTGGTTGAGGATACATCTTCTAGCTATAACTGTGAATAGTATATGACCTGCTTCTCTTCTAATTTTTTTATACTTTTATCTTTAATTATATTGTGGAATATGTTGGTTAAGCCTAACTTCTGCCTGATTTTTATCAATTAGATTATTCCTAAGAAATTTATATTTTCAGGTTTATCAAACACTGGGTTGTTATGTTACATTGTTTCTGATTATTTTTGGGGTGTGTGTGTGTGTGTGTGTGTAAACCAAAATCAGATGATTTTGTTGACTGCTGCTTTATGATACAGGTCTAGATGTACTACTCTCAAAATTATTTTAAAATACATTTCCTGCTAAGCTATTACATAATTGTTTAGTAACTTTTTCTTTGATCTCTCTCTCTCTCTCTCTCTCTCTCTCTCTCTCTCTCTCTCCCTCTCTCTCTCTCTCTCTCTCCCTCTCTCTCTCTCTCTCTCTCTCTCTCTCTCACATACACACACATACACACATACAATAGCCCCACAGAAGCAGTGACAAAATGAATAGAGTGTTAGGCTTTGAGTCTTAGAAGATGTGGGTTCAAATCCTACCTCAAACTTTTACTAGCATCATATTCTACTCATGGCATTTAATCTCTGTGCCTCAGAGTTATTACACCCTCTTCAGATTCCTCATAGCAGTATCTGTAACTCTTCCTTTCACTTACCACATTCTGCTTTGTATCATTTTTCTTTTTGTGTATGTATTATATCTTCTAGGTGGTAAATACCTTGAAGAGAGGATCTGTATCTTAAAAATAATGAAATTTCACAGTATTTAAGGTTTGAAAAGCATTTTCTTCCTCATATCCCTTTGATTTAATATTCCAAGTATCATCCCCAATTTCACAGATGACAAAAATGAAAGTATAGAACCTTACTTTCTTCTGATCATCAGTGAAATATTAATATTCTGGTCAGTGATGAATGTAAAGAAGCAGGTTCCATTTTTCTGTAGTCTGATGCTAATCTTCAACTATCTTTTTTTTTCTACATCTCTTATTTCTGATCTTTCTCCTTTATCCACATTACAGGTGTCCCTGGATCCATGCCAAATGCATCCTGGGAAGGAAACCTCAGAGCTATAAAGTGGCACGACATGGAAAGTGAACATGGAGGCTGTCACGGTAATGTCCTTCTTTGTTTCATCTTTACTACATTTTCTCATTAGACATCTCAAATTCAGAATGTTTACAGTAGAATTTATTATTCTCATCCTCAAACCCATCTCTCCTAAACTTTCTTATTTCTTTTGAGGGCTACTTCTTCACCACCATCCTTCCAGTTATCCAGGTTCTCTATCTCAGTCAACCTCACTCTCACATTCCTTACTCTCACCCCACCTATACATTTGATTCAGATCTTATCATTTCTACCTCCTCAACACCTTTTTCTTATAACTCTTTCTACTCACAAGGCTATCACCTTAATTCAGGCCCTCATCACCTTTCATCTAGATTACTACAACAGTCTCCTTAATTGTTTCCTGCCTCAAATCTCTCCCTTCCCCATTCCATCCTTCACATAGCCAGCTGCCAAAGTGATTTTCATAAGACACAGGTCTGATTCTCCTACTCAGTAAACTACAGTGACTATCTGTTACTTCAGAGATTCAAATACAAGCTTGTCTATTTGGCATTAAAACCCTTCACAACCAGGTACCACCCTACTTTTCCAAGCTTACTGCACATTACTCCCTTCACACACCTTATGGTCTAGCAAAATTAATCTTCTTGCTATTCCTCATATGAGATTACATCTCCTATCTCTCTGCCTCATGCTTAGAACTCAGTCTCTCCTCACCTGCCTCTTAGAGTCTTCAATTTGCTAGAAGACTCATCTCAAACACCATTTTTTTTTCAAGGCAGTTGGGGTTAAGTGACTTGCCCAGAGTCACACAGCTAGTTAAGTGTTATGTATCTGAGGCTGTATTTGAACTCAGGCCCTCCTGACTCCAGGGCTGATGTTCAGTGTACTACACCACCTAGCTGCCCCTCAAACACCACTTTTTACACAAAACTTTCTCTGATTCCCTCCAATCACCAGTGTCTTATCCTCAAAAAGCCCTTGTATCTATTTAGTATATACCTATCTATGTACCTGTTGCCTTCTCTACTAGAGAGTGACTCCTTAAGGGCAGGTATTGTTTCACTTTTGTCTTTGTGACCTTAGAACCTGGCACATTGCCTGATACTGCTGGCACTCAATAAATGCATTTTGATTCCTTGATTGATTGATTATAATAGAGATATAATATAATTGAATGTAATAGAGATATTTCATATGTGAGCAAAGTACATCTTTTGATATATTTGCACAGATGGGATTTGTAGCATAAAGCATCAGAGTGTGGGTCTTAGAAGAATTGAGTTACCAGTCAATGTCTTTGGACCAACCCATTCATCACTCTAATTCACAGTTTGAAAAGACAGTCTCTAAAGGCCTTGAAGTCCTAGTGAGATACCAGGAAAATACTGCTTCAGGTCATTCTTCTCCTTGGATGTGTATACCTACAGATAACTTCAATTAATCAGTTGTTGCTTCTTAGATACATGATTCATTCACTGTTCTTTTACTTCCTCTTTTGTCCTCTGTAATGGTTAGGGCTGGGCATGCATGGAGTGCAAAATAAGAGATCCAGTTCTTTTCTTTTCCACCACACTTCTTGATCTAGCCAATCGAAAAGCCCTTCCCCATGCTTATTAATGACTTTTCTTTGTTCCCCTAAGTGACAGGAACTCCCCTCCCTTCAGTCACTTCCTCTGTGGACCTTTAGAATAGGTTATATGTTTTGAAAGATGCCTGTGTGAGCCTCTTGGAACAGGATGATATGATGCCTGTGGCACATAGGGTTCCTTGGAACTAGTTTTGTTTATGGCATCGGGAGAGGGGAAGTTTGGGAATCAGGAACAATGAAGAAGGGGCCGTTATATAACCAACTAAATGGAGAGGGAACATCACTGCTGTTCTGTTACGAATATTAATCTTGGACTTATTCTGTGGTGTATGTTCTCTCTAATATCCTCCATATTCACTCTTTAATTTCCTCAAGTAAAAAGATGGCCTCTCTTTTGCCTGCTAATTTAGTTTCTTTATTCCTGTTATTCATACCTACTAGTTCCCTCACCCCACCTGACCCTGCCCTGTCCTCTCTTTTTTCTTCTCTCTCCTCTCCACCACACTCTTATTCCAAACCGGCCTTATCTCTACTCAGTATTACTTACTAGGCAGCCCTCAACTGCCCCTTCTACTGAACCCTAAGGAACTCTGCTAGATTGTGGGAAACCGCCCCTCAGCCTTCAGCCTTTTACTCACATCACAAGAACTGGCTGTCCCCAACAAGTCTCATCTTCTCTCTCTCCACCCTAAGCTCAAAGAGAGAACAGAAATCATTGGACTGCCCCTTGCTGTGTAGCATTGTTTGTTGTTGTTGTTGTTCAGTCGTTTGAGTCCTGTCTTAATCTTCACGACCACATTTGGGATTTTCTTGGCAGAGATACTGACATGGTTTGACATTTCCTTCTCCAGCTTATTTTACAGATGAGGAAGCTGAGGCAAAAAGAGTTAAGTGTCTTGCCCAGGGTCACAGAATTAGTAAGTATCTGAGGCCAGATCTGAATTCACAAAGATGAATCTTCCTGACTCCAGGCCTGGCACTGCATCCACTGTGCCACCTCGCTGCCCCCAGCACAGCTACCAGTGCATTAATCTACCACCAACAGTCCATTTCTCTTCACTTAAAAGTCTGTTCCATTAGGTGATAACAGTTCATCCTGGTCTTTGTTGTTACTACCTACCACCTCTTTTCTTTTCTTTTTGCTTTTTGGTGAGGCAGTCGAGGTTAAGTGACTTGCCCAGGGTTACACAGCTAGTAAGTGTCAAGAGGCCAGATTTGAACTCAGGTCCTCCTGACTCCAAGGCCAGAGCTCTATCCACTGTGCCACCTAGCTGCCCCCTACCACCTCTTTTCTATGGCACCTTCTTAGAGACTTTATCATCTTCATTGATGACTCAGTTCACACTCTGCTCTTATAGTTCCTCACCTTCTTCCACTCTACCAACTACTACTCCATTGGTCATTCACTACCATGACCAGTCAGGGTTGCTCTCTAAAATCTCAAACCCCCTTGTTCATATACTAAAATCTCCTTATCTCCCATATACTCAGAGCATAGTCTATGCTATAATTCAATTCTATAATCCAATTTTTTTGTGAAATCTGTTAACTCACTTTTGAATCTATTTGACTCTCTACATATTCTAGACAATGGTCAACCTCTTCGTTATTGCTCTTATCCACCACAGACTACCCTGCCCTAGACTTTTGGCTAAGCCAGCTTCCTGACCACAGCATTTTTCTGGATGAAAACCTATAAACCCATTCAGAGCTGGGCCGTTACCTTCAAATGAAATCTCATCACTGCTCAGCAGCTCCCTTACATATTTTTTTCTTGTTTCTTCAGTGTATTTCTCCATGCACTCATTCAACAAGTATTTATTATGTACCCACTTTCTGTAAAATGGACTGGAAAAGGAAATGGCAAGCCACTCCCATATTTTTGCCAAGAATACCCCCAAAAGGGGTCACGAAGTGTTGGAAACAAGAGAAAAAAAATGACAGTATTGCTCTAGGTGCTAGGGATATGAGTACAAGTAATAAGAATAATCATAGCTGTCGCTTATATAGCACTTACTATGTGTCAGGCGTACTTTACAAATATTAGTTCATTTGATCGTTACAACCACCCTGGGAAGTAGCTTCTGTTATTATTCCCATCTTACAGTTGAAGAAACTGAAGCAAATAGAAGTAAGTGACTTGCCCAGGATCACACAGCTAATAAGTGTCTAAGACTGGATTTAAACTCAGGTCTTTCCTGACTCCAGGCCTGGTACTCTATCCACAGTGTCACCATCTGCCTCAATGAATGGAACAATCTCTACTTGAAAGGAACAAACATTCTAATGGAAGACCCAACCTGTAAATATATGTAAATGTATACAGAATAAATACAAAGAGACCAGATGACAAAATAAAAAGTAGTTATTATGTACAGGGTAGTTTAGGAGGGAAGGGCTCTAGCAGTTGAAGAGACCAGGAAAGGCTTCAGGTGGTAGATCATGCTTTGAGCTGTGTCTTCAAGGAAGAAGAGGGGATTCTGTGAAGCAAGAGGTTTGAGAAGTCATTGCCTTCGAGACCTGGGAGACAGTTGCTGGTGCAAAGGCATAAGGCAAGACACAGAGCATCTTATGTGCAAAACATAGAAAAGGCCAATTTGCCCCAATTGCTGGAAGTAGTGTGATGTCCAGTGAGGCTAGGTTGGGGCAATGTTGTGATTGGGCTTTAAAAGAAAAACAGGAGAATTTCTATTTGATCCTGTAAGCATAGGGAGCTACTGAGTAGGTGAATGACTCAGATTGATGTTTCAGAAAAATCACTTTGGCAAGTGTGGAGCATGCACTGGTATAGGGAGAGCTTCACGCCTCTCTGGTTTTATAGGTTATATACCCTTCTTCCTTCCTAAGGCTATCAATTATCCATTGTACCAATCACATCTACCCTTGTCCGCTCTAGAATCTTGACCCTTCTCTTTCTAGCCTTTAGTTTCTCCCCACTGAAGGGCCCCTTCCCTCTGCCTTTAAATCTACTCAGGTGTCCCTGTCTTTAGCCCCTCTAAAACAACCTAATCAGTACTGTACTGCTCTTCAAGCTGCCACCCTTTTTTTTCCCACTTTCCGTTTACCACCAAACTCCTAAAACATGTTCTTACTGCTTCCTTTTTTCCACAGCTAACTCATTCTTCTCAAATCTAACTTCAGTCCCCATTACTCTACTGAATTCCCATTTACTTCTCAAATGCCCAAATTCAATATCCTTTTCTCAATATTCATTCTCCCTATAGCATTTGACTCCCCTGATCATTCCCTCATTGAGATTCTCTCCTCTCTTGGTTTCTCTCTAGCTGTGCTTCCTCTGTCCCTTTTGCTAGTTCCTCATTTTTTATCCTAATTATGAGTAATCTCCAGAGCACCTTTTGGTCTATGTTCTTTTCTCCTTATATTCTCCCTTTGGAGAATTTAGGACTTTAGTGTGTATAACTCCCAGATCCACATATCCAACCTTTTCGTTCCTGAACTCTATTTGCCTTATTGAACATTTCTATTTGTATATCTCTGATACCTCAAACTCAAAAGTCTAAAATGAAACTCATTATCTTTCCAAAATAAGCTTCCTTCTTGATTTAAACATTGACCTGCTACCATTTTCCTGGGCATCAAGGCACAAAACTTTATATTTATCTGACTTTTAGCACTCCCTTGCCTGCAAGATATCAAGTCTTATCTTTCATAGTCATCCTTACATCTATCCTTTCCTTTCTATTCTTGATGAACCCAACTTATTATTTCCAGCCTTGATTACTGTAATAAATTTGCAGTCATTCCCAGCTGCACAGCCTTGACAAACTCATCCTCTGAAAATACCACTTTCCCAAAATTCTCTTGCTCAAATCTTCAATGGCTCCCTATTACCTACAGAACAAAATCCGGGTTCCTTAATCTGGCATTTAAGGTCTTTTACAATCTAAATTCAGCTTGCCTTTCCAAGTACTATTCTACACAATTACAATACTCCAGAAATTCTGACATGCACTAGTTATGTAATCTTGGATAAGTCATTCACTCTAAGCTTAAAAAATTTTTTTTGGTAGATTAAAGGTATTAGACCAAATGACCTATAAGAACAACAGTAGTAGCTGACATTTATATAACATATTAAGTTATACATTATTTTAAGTTCCTTCCAGATATTAAATCCTAATGTGCCTTTTTTTGCTCTATAACTCTATGCACATTATTTCCTCTGGCTTTTGGTCCAGTCATTCCCCAATGCTTTTTCCATATAGGCAGATACTACCCATCCTTTAAGAAGATCTCTTCTTCTATTCAATTTTGCTGGCCACATTAGTCTATATTGATTTCTCTCCTCTCTACACTGTTAGGTACTTATAAGAAGCACCACTTAAATGCCATTAGACATATTGCTATCCTGGCTTATTGCATTATCTCATTTAATTTTTAATGTATGAACCCATGTCTTCTCTAAGATTGCAAGATCCCCATCAACATGGATCATAATGTCATACTTCTCTTGCATTTGCATACTACCTTAACCACTGCTAGGCACAAAGTGGTCAAGGAGCAAAAAAAAATATGTTTCTACAAATCAAATGCACACCCTCCCTCCTTTGAAAACAAGTATTTGGTTTTTTAATTTTTTTTTCTTGCTGTCTTCATTTGCAGGTCACTATGTACATGAAATTTGCATCTTTGGAAACGGTGACTTAAAATGGCTGTATGACTCCCCAAATATGTTTGCTAACAAGTTTGAGCTTAAAACATATCCACTTACTTTAGAATGCCTGGAACTGAGGCTTAGAGAAAGAGCCCTAAACCAAAGTGAAATTCCAGTACAGTCAAGCTGGTATCTTTGATCCTCCATGACTCCGGATTCAAGAGAGTCAAGGCAGGAACAGATGCTTAATTAATGACTTTCAGGTTGGAAAGGAAGCTCTTTATTCCTTAAAGACTTGGTCAAATCTCAGTTTTCAAGAATTAGTTCAAAGATGATGACGAACATTTTGGCACCCAAGATGAAACACTGGCCAAAGCAGAAGCTGGTTTCCAAGTAATGATTATGGACTGGTTGTGTACCTGTGACTTTTTTCATTCTACAAATTTCATCGATTGATATATTATAGAAACAATGCCTGGGCCTTGATTTTATTGAAGACTCTTGTTATATCTACACATCAGAAATCCAATGCATGCTGAAATATAAAGAAAAAAGCCTAGTGCTCTTGTTTCTATGTCTGCGACAAAGCATAATGAGTTCGCCCCCAAGAAGGAATCATTTCTGATTTATAACAGTGCCACAATGAGATATAGACAAATTCCACGTTCTTTCTCGCATATATATTTTTAGCAATAATTAGATATCTGGCTCTCTTTTCCCGAAACCCAGGCTGGCAGAATTGAAGCCAGACATTGGTTCTTCAGTACTGCTCTCTTTGATTTTCTGTAGTCTATAGATTATGTATACTTTTATGTCTCCAGCAAAGGATAGAGCAGGATTTGAAATACTGAATGATGTCTGCTTCATTGAAAAAAGTCTGTGAAATTGTGTTTTCTCCATTACAAATTCTGGGTTTTCTGTGTCATTAGCTCTCTTTTATATTTACCCACTGCGCAAGGAGTTGTGATGCCAGCCTGGGTATTTGCTGGAGAGCAGCTGTGAAATGAAGAAAATTTCAACTTTACTGAAGCATAGATTACTTCTCTGTGTGTATGGGGAAAACAATGCACTTTTATGTCTGTGGGATTTGAAAAGGAATGAATTCTTAAGTGCTGCTTGAACTCTCTGTAGTATCAGAGCTAATCACTACACCTTCCTGTGATTTCTTCCATGCCTTCTTAATAGGAGCATCCCAGAGAGTAGATTCTACTCTGTCTAGCAGAGGTTTACCTTGAGCCAGTATAAAATAGCTTTGTCAGGTGGTATCAGCTAGAGGAATATAAAACAGTACAGATTTTGTTTCCATTTTCCTTTTTAATAAAACAAAGCAAGTAACTCTGGGCATTCAATCATAGGAAGAAGATTCTAAGTCCCTGAAAATCAATCGAGGCAGTTACCTCAGCACTAGTAATTGTAGTGGTTATAGAGAATTGCATAACCTCATTCTTTTAATGTGACGCAATCAGGGTTTAAGATACCTGCACCTGAGTTTTCCAGAATTGCTGTCAGGACATGGAGGCTTCAGGTTAGGGGACCAAATTGAGACCAAGTTGAAGGCAAAGGAAATTGGCCAACCACCTTGAGAGGAAATGTTACAGGTTCTTTGGTAACTGGTTCCTCCTGTTAAAACATTTCATGCATTTTTGAAGCTGGAACCTACTCAAAAGGAAGAGTAGAAGCCACAATTTTTTTTTCTTTAGAGGAGGAGTCAATCATTTTGTATTACACTGTGGCATCTTAGGCCATTTACTGTGATCAGGAGAATGTTCCAACTATGACAAAAGCCATCCTCCTCAGTAACATTTGACTGAAGTCTATGTTGGCATCCCATGAATACTTTAGATTGCTGCTTTTTTCTGATTAAAATTCTTACTAGAGAATCAATAGTATATATTTAGGTAAGAAAATGATATTTTTTCTTCTGTAATTTGTGCTTATTCAAAGTTATACCTGTGTCACATGTAAGGGAACCAACTTTGCCAAAGTTAAAGAATAAACTGTGACCAATCAGAGAGGGAAGACCAACCAGCTTGTAACCAGTGATGTCAGAAAATAGATTCTGAAGATCTAAATGAATAAGCTGGAAGCAAAAGATTGTTTAATACACTGCACTTTGCCAGGAGAAATCTTTCAGGAATAGATGTTTACATGTCAGCTACAGCTGTCCTACACACTTTCCAGAGGGAATGGTTTGGAGGGAAGCCTCAAGCTGATAGATGATCACTGGCCTGTTTGGCATGCCCTTAAACTACTGATTATGTCTTTGTTTTGAATGACTTTTATGTTATATTTTCATTGAAATAAATTAATATATTGCTGTCCACCTTTATAGGACAATGTGTAGAAGTTGCTGGTGTTATTAATTGGCTGGTTGATTAAAATCCTTTGAGAAAAGCCGTTATATGAAGGCACTTCTCACATAAAAATTCATTGATTTAAAGAAAGGAGTTGAAAGAAAATGAGAACTTTCTTCAGTTTGCTGTGAATAATTCAAAGCAAAACAGTGGTGTCATACTCATAGAAAGAGGTGGAACACCAGACCATACATAAGCATCCCTGGGTTGCATATTGATTTAGAAAACCATATATTAACATCCATGTTTTATTGCATTTTTATTTATTTTGTAAATCATTTCCCAATTACATTTTAATCTACTTCAGGCTACAAAGGTGCCACTCTTTTTGACATCTCTGGCCTAAAAGATGTCATCAAAGAAATAATTAATTGGAAAAAGAGATAGACCAGTCATATGGCAAGAACAAGGGATAACCATCCCTACGTGGGTCATTAGAATTCATGCAATGTCAAAAGAACAGTTCCTAGCACATTGATTGGACCTCATGGCAAATGTAAGGGTAGACATAAAGAATAGGATGGGGGAGGGGGGGTGGAGTGATGGATTTCGGTCTTCATCATTGGAGGGAATTAACTACATTGATGAACTCTTAGGACGTAGGCAGTTAGGTGGCAAAGTGGCACAGTGGGCTCCAAATCAGGAAAACCTGAGTTCAAATCCAGTCTCAGCCACTTACTAGCTGTGTGACCCTGGGCTAGTCACTTAAGCTCAACCTCAGTTTCCTTACATGTAAAGTGGGGATTATAATAGTCCCTATCTCCGAAGGTTGCTGTGACAATAAAATGAGATGATATTTGTAAAGTGCTTTTCAAACCTTAACCAGTGGTGTATTGGAACTCACTCCAACCAATTTAAAATTTTCATTGTGATCATTTACATCTCAGAAATCAGCAAATGCTAATAAAACAGAAGATTGATTTGTTGTTTTGTTGATTGTCTAGATTTTTAAAAGTAATGGATAAAATGCTAATAATGCAGATTAAACTTAAAAGTGTGTCCTGTTTACATTTTTTGTCTATATTTTTTTCTTCTGAGCTCTGGTTGTCAAACATTTCCCAGCATACTCCTGTTTAAAGTACTCTATAAATGCTTGCTAGCGATTATTATTACAGATCCCTTGGACTCTCAACTATTTCAAAATTACATCAAGGATCTTCCAAGCAATCTATGTATCATTAAATATTGGGGGTTTTTTTGGTTGTATTTTTTTTTAATCAGTGATTTTAACTGAAAAATTTATCCAGTGACCAACCCAATAGTGCTAGCATTCCAAACTTATCTAGACTAGTCCTCAGATTGCAGATACCATATATTACTGGGTCTTTATTTGAAACATTTCTGCCTTGGGAGAACCTTTTACTGCATGGGTTCTGCTTCTGTAGCCTTTGAATAAATAAATTTAAAAGCACTAAGCATTTACAATATGCTAAACACTAGGAATACAAATGCAAAAGTAGAGACAAGCCTTGCCAACCTGAAATTTGTATTCTAATGAGTGAGATAACACATAGGGGAGCACTGGAATGGGTGTTTTGGTTTCCAAAGGTACAGAGATGGTGAGTAGAGTCAGAGGGAGAAGGCTGCCACATAGTTTTCAGTAGCAGTAATAGTATTGATTTAATTATGGTTCCGGAATTACAAAGTGGGGTGGTGAAAAAGATCTGGATGAATAAACAAACCTATTTAGAGCCACTCAGGTATAGTGGGCCACCTATCTCCCAAGGTTGTTATGACAACAAAATGAGATAATATTTGCAAAGTGCATTTCAAATTTTAGCCAGTGGTGTGCTGGAGTTGGCTCTAACCAATTTAAAATTTTCAGTGTGAGCATTTAAAAATCAGTAAGTGCTAATTAAACAATTGATTTACGGTTTTGATGATTGTCTAGATTTTTTTTAAGTGATGGGTAAAATATTAATAATGCAGATTAGATTTAAAAGTGTGTCCTGTCTACATTTTTTTTTCAGAGTCTGGTTGTTAAATATTTACCAGCATACCCTGAAATACTTATTAGGATGAGGGTGTTGGAGGGCATAGAGAAGGTATACTAAAGCATAAAGGTTTTAAGTCCTACAGTATCCAAAAGCGGTTGTTGAAAAGATGGCAAGGAATAAACTAACCTTTGAGAACATACTTTAGAAGCATTGGAGCATAATTTTAGTAGAGGCTTCAAAATTTGAAAGAAATAAATGACATTTCAGTTGTATCAGACTTTTCATGACCCCTTAGGATTTTCTTGGCAAAGATACTGGAGTGGTTTGACATTTCCTTCTCCAGATCATTTTTACAAATGAGAAACTGAGGCAAAGAGGGTTAAATGACTTACTTGCCCAAGGTCACACAGCTTATAAGGGTCTGAGGCCAGATTTGACTCATGGAGATGAGTTTTCCTGATTCCAGGCCTGGCACTCTGTCCACTGCATTGCCTAGCTTCTGGAAAAGAAATGGCAAACCACTCCATTATCTTTGCCAAGAAAACCCCAAATGTGATCACAAAGAGTCGGACATGACTGAAAAACAACTGAACAACAAATGACCTTTTAAAAACAATCTTTTAATAACATGATATGAATTAGTAATTATGTCTGGGTTAAGATGATTATGCTTGAAAATATTGAAGTATCCATATGGTGCTTTCTAAGATTACAAGTTGTAGAGATGATGCTAGCCTGCATTAGTGGAAGAAGTTCCTTATGTTGAATTTCCCCTACCAGTGAGATCATAGGTCTAGTCCCTGTCACTGTCCCATGTGACACCATACTCAGTATTGTAAACAGCACATTAAGTCAATACCAGTGCCTTTGAATTCCCATGTCTTAACAGATTAAATATACATACATACATATATACATATACGTGTATATATATACATGTGTCTGTGTGTGTGTGTAGGACAGGTTAAATATTTACGTTAAAGCAGGGATTCTTTTTTTCTCTTTTTTTTATTCATTTATTTATTTTAGTTTTCAACATTCACTTCCACAAGATTTTAAGTTCCAAATTTTCTCCCCATCTCATCCCTCCCCTCACCCCAAGATGGCATGCATTCTGAATACCTCTTCCCCTAATCTGCCTTCCCTTCTATATCCCTGTATATCTTATTTCCCAGTTGCATGTGAAAACAATTTTTAACATTTGTTTTTAAAATTTTGGTTCCAAATTTCTCCCTCCTTTCCCTCCCACCCTCATTGAGAAGGCAAGCAACTCGATACAGGTTATACATGTGTAGCATGCAAAACACTTCCACAGTAGTCATGTGAAAAACTAAGTATATTTCCCTTCATCCTATCCCAGCCCTCATTTATTCTATTCTCTCTTTTGACCCTATCCTTCCTCAGAATTGCTTGCTTCTGATTACTTCTTCCCCCAATCTGCCCCCCCAACATCCCCCTGTTCTCTTGTCCCCTTCCCCCCCCCATTTTCCTGTAAGGTAAAATAGATTTCCATACCCAATTGAATGTGTATGGTATTCACTCATTCGCTCTCACCTTCCCCCATTTCCCCTCCACTGTAAAAGCCTTCTCTGTTTCATGTGAGATAATTTACCCCATTCTACCTCTCCCTTTCTCCTTCTCCCAGTATAATCTTCTCTCGCCCCTTAATTTTATTCTCCTAATATCACCCCTTCATCTTCGATTCACCCTGTGCCCTCTATTTATCTATCTATATGTATACATATATAGAATTTTTTCCTTCCAACTACCCTAATACTGACAAAGGTCTCATGAGTTACAAATATCATCTTTCCATGCAGGAATGTAAACAGTTCAACCTTAATAAGTCCCTTATGATTTCTCTTTGCTGTTTACCTCTTCATGTTTCTCTTGACCTGTATTTGAAAGTCGAATTTTCTATTCAGGTGTGGTCTTTTCATCAAGAATGCTTGAAAGTCTTCTATTTTACTGAATGTCCATTTCCTCCCCCTGAAGGATTATACTCAGTTTTGCTGGGTAGGTGATTCTAGATTGTAATCCTATCTCCTTTGACCTCTGGAATATTATATTCCAAGCCCTCTGGTCCCTTAATGTAGAAGCTGCTAAATCTTGTGTTATCCTGATTGTGTTTCTACAATATTTGAATTGTTTCTTTCTGGCTGCTTGTAATATTTTCTTCTTGACCTGGGAACTCGGGCATTACACTACAATATTCCTAGGAGTTTTCCTTTGGGGATCTCTTTCAGGAGGTGATCAGTGGATTCTTTCCACTTCTATTTTTCCCTCTGGTTCTAAAATATCAGGGCTGTTTTCCTTGATAATTTCTTGAAAGATGATGTCTAGGCTCTTTTTTTGATCATGGCTTTCAGATAGTCCAATAATTTTTAAATTCTCTCTCCTGGATCTATTTTCCAGGTCAGTTGTTTTTCTAATGAGATATTTCACATTGTTTTCTATTTTTTCATTCTTCTGGCTTTGTTTTACAATGTCTTAATTTCTCATAAAGTCACTAGCTTCCAATTGTTCCATTCTAATTTTTAAGGAAGTATTTCCTTCAGTGAGTTTTTGGACTTCCTTTTCCATTCAGCCAATTTTGCTTTTTAAGGCATTCTTCTCATTGGCTTTTTGGACCTCTTTTGCCATTTGGGTTAGGCTATTATTTAAAATTTTTTTTTTAATTTTTAGGTAATTGGGGTTAAGTGACTTGCCCAGCTATTAAGTGGCAAGTGTTTGGTATGAGGCTGGATTTGAACTCCGGTTCTCCTGACTTCAGGGCCAGTGCTCTATCCACTGCACCACCTAGCTACCCCTAGGCTATTTTTAAGGTGTTATTTTATTATTTTATTTATTTATTTATTTTTAGGCAATTGAGGTTAAGTGACTTGCCCAGGGTCACACAGCTAGTAAGTGTCAAGTGTTTGGTCTGAGGCTGGATTTGAATTCAGGTCCTCCTGACTTCAGGGCCAGTGCTCTATCCACTGTGCCACTTAGCTGCCCCCAGGTGTTATTTTCTTCAGTATTTTTGGGGTCTCCTTTAGTAAGCTTGTTTTTCATGATTTTCTTGTATCACTCTCAGTTTTTCCTCTACTTCTCTTACTTGCTTCTCAAAATCCTTTTTGAGCTCTTCCATGGCCTGGGACCAATTCGTATTTTTCTTGGAGGCTTTGGATGTAGGAGCTTTGACTTTGTTGTCTTCTTCTGGTTGTATGTTTCAATCTTCTTGGTCACCAAAGAAAGATTCTATGGTCTGACCTTTTTTTATGAAGTTTACTCATGATCCCAGACAATTACTTGAGTTATAAACTCTTTGTTAAGGTAGAGGTCTGCTTCCAGTGTGGAGAATGTACTGTCCCAAGATTTGAGGGTTTTGTGCAGCTGTTTTCAGTGATACTTCTAGGGACCTGTAAATTTTCAGTTCTTCTAAGGTGATATGATAAGGGTTGAGGTGTTTACTCCTGTCCTGGCCTGTGCTCTGGTCTATGAGTGACCACAAGCACTCTTTTCTACCTTGGAACTGTGAGGAGGATTTTCTCTCTATCACCACTACAAGCTCCACCATGCCAGCAATCCTCTTTGCCCCAGGACCACCACCTAGAACTATGACCCAGATCCAAACACAGGCAATGCAAGAGAATCCTGTACCAGCAAAGAGATCCCTGCAATCCCCCTCTGATCTGCCACTTGATTCCCCCTCAGTCTGTGGGCCAGAAGCTCTGGAAGCAGCCACCGTATGCAAGGACTGGGGTTGGGACCAAGCTTCTCTCTCACTGCAGTCACAGACTTTTCCTACCGACCTGCTAAGTTGTCTTTGGTGTTTTGGGGTTGAGAAGTCTGGAAACTACCACAGCTGCCCATGATTCAGTCCTCTGAGGCCTACTCCAGGTTCGCTGAGGTCTGTTTTGCCTGTGTGCCCATGCCGAACTACATTGCTCTCCCTGCCTGTGCGATATATCTCTCTGATAACCCATCCAGGTTGTCTTGGGCTGGA